TCAAAGATATGATCGGAGATACCCCGAAGATCCAAGATCGGTGAACAGCCACTACTTGCGCACTTGCATGTAGCTCAAAACCACGCATGAGTATCGCCACAGTAGCCTTCGTAAGGATGGCATAATCCACCTCACGAACAACTCTCCGCCGATCAAGAGACCACCATGGCCCTCGCACTGCCACAGGTATTCGACCGTAGCTTGCAGGACGGCCCGGCGTTGGCGCTGCGCAATCTCTTCCGCCGAAAGGTTGGTGCCTTCGGCGGCCTTTACTGCGATAGACAGAAGGGCCGGGGGGCTAGGAGCACCTCCCGCAGCGGCGAGGTTTTTGCATGAGCTATGCAGCTCGTCGACGGTGGTACCCGAGGCCGAGCGCAGCGCGCCGCCCGCGCAGATGGCGATCTTCTGAGGCTGCCAGACGAAGACGTTGCCGTCGCCCAAGACATAGACGACCTTGCCGATTTCTTCGACACTGGAGGGTGGCATGGTCGTGGCCATGTTGATGTTGAGGGCACTCATCACGGGCGGACGGTTTATGGATATGCTGAAGAGGGAAAAACAAAGAAGGCATCTAGTGCTAGGCTATTATGAAGCTGCTACAGCAGGCGATCTTCGGATACGACTGGGGTGGGGGCCTCTACCGATTCAGGTGCAAAGCCCCAGGGCCAGTGGACCGGGGCGTGCTGGCTGACGACTGAACGGTTTTAACAGAGCATCCGCTTATCTTTGTTTTCCTGTGGGAACAGGGTTGACGTTTGAAGAGTGAGATGGCGCATCTGACTTCTCAAATATTGTCTCATTGTTGCGTGACAGAGCTGGGCACGATTTTATCGGTTCCCATCTCCGTTCCTCATAATACCCCAAGATACTGTCCCACGAAAGCCCTGCGGTTGTTGGTTTTGGCGATACTGAAGTGAGTGCCCGCATTACACCTGCAGTGTACCGCAAGTAGGTTGTCAAAATGGGGACGCCTTATTTTGTTTTGCAATAATTCATCCGGGGACGAAACGTCTCCGGTGGCGATGGTCTCTCTCTGTTTTTTGTGGGGGGGCATACAAGATCTGTGTTTCTGTGTAGGGCGGCCCCGGGCACACAAACGTGCGGACGGCCTCTGGCATTCGTGCCGATGATGTTGGCCCTGAGAAACATTAACGAGAGAGCATTTTGTCTGCTCGAGCATTGCTGAAGCCTCTGGTTATCTGAGCGTGCTTCCTTGCTACCGCAACTTGCAAGGGCGGTGTGAGTTCTGAAATGGCAGGAGAGAGGGCGTCGGTTGGTGCTTGTGGATTCTTGCTGAATGCATCTCATCCTGCGTGTTTATCGTTGCGCCCGTGCACATCTGCGACGGCATTACTCGTGATTTTTGTTGGCAGGAGAACCAGAGGTAGTGCTCGATTTTACAGTTGATGAAAAAGTTGTGTTACCGTTCGAGACATTCATTGTTCCGCAAGTACACCCCCACAGAGGTAGTTGGCCGCGTTCGGCGGAGCCTCTGCGAGAGCTGTCTGGACTCGCCCTCCTCTGCTCACAACCAAGCTACCATCCTGAGCTTGCACTTAAAGAATAAGACCACAGCATCCACAAGGAGGCCTTTGCTCCGACACTACACCGGCCACTACAGCTGGTTCGAGTATCTTCACTACTCATCGCACTCGGTACATACAGTCGTTCGATTGCACAAAGCGAGGTCAGTGTGTGTGCATCGCTGCATGAGAGAATACCTCTCAGGAGCAGTAATTCCCTTTCTCGCGCCAGAAATAGTGCCATGAACGGGAGCTATACGTACTTACTGATTACACACTTCAGACCTCTACCGTCATTTGCTAAAGACTCGTTACAGTTGTATTCACTAACCTACAGAATAACAGCGGTGGCAACAACAGCAACCACGCAACAGCAACCACAACCCCACTCAATAGCGACGGTGTTTCCGGAATGCGTACCTTTAAGTTTCATCTCTACGCACGAGGTGAGTCCGGCGGCCACACTGCTGCATCAACCGACAACACAAACACCCCGGAGCGTTCTGAAGACTCTGTGCGGCACCATGTTGTGTAGTTTTCAGTTCCAGGAGTGTTGCAAAGGACATCAATCACTGGTCATCCTCTCTATCATGCTCAGACTTAGTGCATGTGTTAGCGAACGCTTGCTACGTCCACACAACTGTTGAGCGCCACCAAGACACGGTAAGGGTCGTGTTTCCTACTCGACGAATTGTCGAAATTGGCCATCGTCAATCAAACAGCGTGGCACGCTGGCTGTATCGACCACTTGAGTCCAGCCTTACGAGAGGCCTCTAGTGTGTCCTGGCAACTGTTGACCGCTTTCTCGCCTATGACCGCCCCCCACGGGAAAACTCCCGCTCGGTGCCCCGACGAGAACATGTGATATCATAAGCGGCAGCATTACCCACAAGGTTCCGGTGTCTCCAGTACTTCGGATCCAGTTGTCGTCTAGGTGTTTGCGGAGACGACCGAATATCGATCCTTCAAGTGCCATAACCCACGAGAGAATGACAGTTATTCTCGTTGCATGTTTCTCCCTGATTTCTATCGATATCGCTCAATATTGTATCGTCATGAGAAGTTGTCCCCATTGCTGGGTACTCGTTCTCTTTTCCTCTGCGCTGATTTTTGTTCCCAGGGCAAACCCGGTGCCTCGATGCCTTCGTCGCCGCCTTGAGCCAAGCATGTGGGGGAGGGGAGAAGCGCTGGTATGCGTCGACACTGGACCTGCAGTTGACGTCACTGGATATCTGCAGGGCGTGCCGAAGAATCTCGATCTTGCGCGTACGTGTAGTTGAAGAGACCCCTAAAAGGTTGTGGTCCTCCCGCAGCGTACAGGCTCGGTCGAACACAAGCCGTGTTGTGCGGGCTCTTCATTGTACGTGGGTGTTCGTGTGTTTGGATACGGACTGGTTAGATCTACCGGCAACAACGGAGGGCACGCAGATGGGGCATATGTACACCTTGAAATGGTTGCATGTGCGGGGACCCCTCGAACTTCAAAGAGGGCTTCACTTCTCGCTACTCCCCTTGCGTGTCTAATACAAGAGATAAAACGTCTTCCCCTCCCAAGTAAAGGACATATACGAAGACACTAGTGTCAGTCCCTCGAGGGAGAGTCCATTAGGAATGTCAGGTCGCAAAGATGGGGGTGACTCCTCCAGCGACTCTGCGGCGGAAGACAGAAAAAGGTCAAGAGAAGAGCTCGTGGCCCTGAGGACGCAAGTTAGCTCGCTGATGGATCAGATGAGCCAGCTAATGTCGCTAGCGGAAGATACCATGAAGGCAGGCAATAAGGAGGAGTCAGCTGGCACCATGGAGGGTGCCGCTGATCGCGGCGATGCTAGGGAGAGCGCCGCCGCGGAGTCCACGAACGCCGAAGGAGGGGCACCGTGGACCGGGAGTGCGCAGGACGGGAGGTACCTGTGCGAACCTGTTTGAGAGTCTGGCCCGTCAGGGCGACACAGCGGCGAAGCAGGGGGCTTTGTCCCCCAAGAGGTGAGAGTAGCCGCTGCTCACAACCAAGATTATAGTAGTGCCATGGGAGATGGTGGTGCTGCTGTTGGCTTTGGATACGGAGCCACAACCCCAGCGACGGGGTACCAAAGTGTGCGGTACACTTCTCCTCCGTTCAGCGGGAAATCGAAAGATTTCAACGAATGGCTAAATGATTTCCGCATGGCAGCTAATGGCGCAAACCTGTTGGAACAATTTGAAGAGAGCGGGAGCTTGGAGATCCCCGTCAACAGCGGAAAGAGCAAGTTTTCGCTGTCACAGCAGTACCTGAGCGATCAAGTAGAGCTCGCAATACTTCCTGTCTCACGCGTTGAACGAAGAAGATCGGAAAATCACGAAGAGGCCCGAAACGCCCCAGGGAGCTCTTCGTGAGCTCAAGACCATACACGACCCTGAATCATCTGTACAGCCGTCAGAGGACCTCAAGTCCCTGACGTCGACCAAGATCTCTAGAGGTGAAAACCCCCAAAACGCCCTAAATGAGATGCTCCAAACCGCAAAGTCCTTAACCGAGAAAGGACTAACTGTCAACGAAACGTTCGTCCTTCACCTCTTCCTGGATGCCCTTTCGGACGAGTATGCCATGACAAAGCACAACCTGCGACACGCGAAGGAGTTGACGCGGACCGGTGTGCTAAAGGAAGTAATGATCGAATACAAGGCGATCAAGGACAAGCTGGAGCAGGGGAAAGGAAAAGGGGCGAAGGGCGCAGAGCAAGCGTACTTCGCCGACGGTGAGGGCCGCAGGGAGCGGTACTCAAGTAGGAGTCAGGGGCAAGGTCGTGGTCGTGGCGGCGGTCGCGGCGGCCGCTCAGGCGGATCCGGAGGAGTCGAGGAGAGCAAGGGAAGCAGCAGTGGAGGCGTCGATGGCGGGGGTGGCGGGGACTATAAGTTCCGGGCCGGTGATTTAGGTGTGGACATCGTGGACATCGAGCGATCGGCGGCACAACCAACGAGAAGGACTTCGTGCCGTGATGTGCGCGCTACGAGGGGTGGGGCCACACCAAAGAAAGTGCGCGACAGAGGAGGCCGTCCTAGCGCAAGTGGTGGAGCATGAGAGCGACGTGGACTCCGTGGAAGACCAGGCGTTTTGTGCCGTGGCAGTCCCCCCAGGCGAGTGTGGTACCGTTGGTGAAGTAGGTCTAGTGGGGGTTGTGGAACAAGGCCAGGCGGTGTACGTGGCCGACACAGCGGCCACGTGCTCCATGTTCCGATGTGCAGACAACTTCGTGAACTACCGTGAGCGTAGCGGTTGGTTGAAGGGGATCGGAGGCGACAAGGCCTTCGTTCCTCTTCTAGGATACGGAGATGTGACCTTAGTCCTACAGACGGAAGATGGTGGAGTACCCGTATCAGTACTGAATGCTGTTCATGTACCAGAGGCCCCCTACAACCTCCTCTCGCTGTCTTCGTTGGCGGAGGAGGGCCACACGTATTCGGGGATGAAGGGGGGCCTCACGCTGACCACGAAAGCCGGGGGGGAGGTGTGGTTCCCCCGGACTGGAAAGCTGCTGACCCAACGAGGCTATCAAATAAAGCCAACGCTACACACCGCCTGTGCCGCACTCATTGTTCCTGGCGATGCGAAAGCAGCCAACCCCACTGACCTCAACGAGTACCACCTCGCGCACGGCCATGCCCACGAGACATTGCTCAGGATCACGGCGGAGCAGCAGGGAGTGCAGCTGACGGATGGACCGCTGCTACCCTATCTTGGCTGTTCGATGTCCAAGGGACAGGTGAAATCC